CTCCTCCTCAGTCCAGATATGGTCACTTCCTGTTCACTGGTTGCCAATAAATCCCCTCCATGCTACAGTGGACCTTTCATTTTAAGGGATCATATGACAAAAAGTTGTGAATGATTGGAAAATAATTTTAATACACAGCAGATATGTAACTTGTGCTCCAGTTAATAATCATATATATATTATTGTGAGGAGTTTAAAATGTAAATATGAAGCCTGAACCTCACAGAAGCCTTTCCAACCTCTAGATGGTGACGGTTAACCTGGAAATGCAGCTCTGAAACTGGACAATATTAACAAACAATATCAATATTATCTTCTTTCTTTGGAATCAACCCTTTCTATCGATGACGTCACATCTAAATGAAACCAGCTGGTCGAGCTCTTAAAGAAACAAACATCAAAGAAGCTTTTCAGTGAAATAACCGGCGAACAGCAGACGGTGGAGTTCCTTCTTTTTAATGTGTTAACCTGTCATCTCATAAATCTGTTACACTTCTGAAACAAAATATAGGCAATTATACAGTATGTAAAACAAACCCATTTTTTATTTTACACTATGTACATTTCATAACGTGTGCATCGCATCATGAAAACAAAAAAGACAAAAAGGTGACATCACAGCGACAGAACAGAGGAGAGAGTTTGTACATCGGGAGGAAGAAGTCGTCTTTAAGACAGTTCAGGGTTCTTCTCTGTGACGTTCAGCACATTCACATCTCTGGCGTCCACGTCGTCTTAAAGAGAATCCCTCTGGACTTTATCCCACACGTGATTCGACCCGTTAGAGCTTCTGAACACACTGTTTTAACATTGCAGCACAATGGAAGGCCGTGTTGGCACCAGAGAGGATTATAGGTTCACACTTGTGTCCATGGAAGCGTCATTCAGTCCCAAAGAAACCCCAAAAATAAAAGGTATGAATGAAACGGAGAAAAAAAAAGAAATAAAACCGGAGTGAGGTTTTAGGAATCATTTGTATCATCTGTTTTAAACTTCATTATATGATGTTAAATGTGCAGCTATGATACAGGAGGAGACTATCCTGGCCGTGAGATACGATCTAATCTCTCGTTCTCTTTGTCTTCTCGTGTTTTAGTAACTTGTTGATTTATTAACTTCTGATCGTTTACATACGTCTACTGAGGACAAAGACATTTTAACAAGAGTCTTTAAGAGTTTTATAAGCCGTAGAATGTTCACTAACAACAGATTTTGGCATAAAAACATACGGAAAACATACGTTCTTTAACATGAACGATCCCTTCTGTAGAGGAACGTGTGAGACATTTAACGAATAAAGGAATCAACAAACTCACGTGAGCCTGAATATGAAATGTGATTCATTTGGCTGAACGACTGATGGTGTTCTTCTGTTGACACCGGATGCATGAATCAGAACGAAAACATTTTTGTTGAATAACCTGATTGTGTGAATAAAAGCTTGGCTGCAGCTCTGAAGCTAACATTTGTGTTACCGGATGTTGGCGTAGAATTCATCTCTTTTATGGCTGATTTCTTAATATCCGCTTTATATTAAGTGTGCCATCTCTGCTGTCCTGAAGAACTCATAAAACATTTGTTTTCCAGCTGCAAAGCAACACTTCTGTCACATGTGCACAGGCACTAAATCAAATACACAAATAACCTACATCCAGAGGATCCGTTCAGACCCATGAAAAGAGTGACGTAGTGTTTAGTTAGTGTCGCTGACGGAGGAACGAGAAACAGAGACACCAACAACCAGAGAGATGCTACATTCTCTTGTTAAACTGTCCAACATGGCGACATGTGGCTTTAAAGCACCTCAGTAGAACATCTGAAGTATTCGCTGCAGTTCCTCTTTGAGTCAATGAGATGTTTAAGCTTTAAATCTTCAGTGAAGCTCAGATTAGCTCGTTAACTTTACTGCGACTGTGATCATAATGATGATGTTTAATGTCACGTATTGACTTGATGCTGCCTGTGAGGAGCAGCTCATTGACTTCTGTAAAAGGACAATTGTTCTAATTAGTTATAAGATGATCGTTTCTTTATGGAGAAAATGAAGAATTAATAAATAACGGACTTCCTGGAAGCGTTCTACTCGACAACGTGGACCTTCGGCTCTGAGAGAGTTCAGGTTTTAGTGACGTCGCCTCGGTGACGTTCAGCTAAACTAGCGTTCACGTCACCTCATCGCGTCACAGCTTGTACAGACTGGTAGTGTGTTACATGTAGTGATCTCTTATACACAGTCACAGCAATGAAGGGTTAAAAAACGTCTCCAAATTATGACTAAAAGGATAAAACATTTGTTTTCTCTGGTAACATCCATTTAGTTTAGAGAAGCTCGCTGGAGGGAGTCGGCTCTTTATGTCACTTTAAATGCGTTTCATTATAAGCAGTGTTTTATTCTCTTTGTGGTGCCACATGAGAGGGGTTAGGACATTATTTTATGGAATCTTTTAAACAGAACAGCTCGTTTTATTTTTATATAATGTGCAAACTTCCCCTCTGAGAAACACACAGAAGTTCAGTTTAATGTTATGAAGTACGGAAGCCCTGAGAGGACAGTGAGGAAACATACTCTGGTGCTCCCAGTCTGACAGAAGTAGATTCTACTCTCCAGTTCATGACTTCAGAACAAGAGAAAGAAATTATGGTGTTGACAGGATAATTATTTAAAGCTTTTTTCGTCATCTGTGAAATGGGTGGAAACATTATTTTTACGCATTTGTTGTTGTGATATTAATTTGCATCACTACCTCGTGTTCTAAAGAAGGATTTAAAGCATTTATGTTCACTTCCGGGATCATTTAAAACACAGCTGGAAGAAAACAGGAGTGCTTTTAGTCCCATTTACAACATGAGGTCGAGGAGCACTGCAGCCCCGTGTGGCCAAGATGAGTATTACAACAACAAACAACCAGAAATGATCCCGACAAAGAAAGTTAATCTTCCACCTGTTTCACAGATGAAAAAACTTTAAAAGATTATCAACCTGTTCTCAAGTCATAAACACAGAAAACTAATCACATCACACTTCAGAAATGATCACAGATGTGTTTTATCACCGATGTGTTTTATTACCGATGTGTTTTATTACAGATGTGTTTTATTACAGATGTGTTTTATCACCGATGTGTTTTATTACAGATGCGTTTTATTACAGATGCGTTTTATCACCGATGTGTTTTATCACCGATGTGTTTTATCACCGATGTGTTTTATCACCGATGTGTTTTATCACCGATGTGTTTTATTACAGATGTGTTTTATCACCGATGTGTTTTATTACAGATGTGTTTTATCACCGATGTGTTTTATCACCGGCGTCTCTGAACTTCCGTACTAATGTTTATAACCAATCTGCTGAATAAATATAAATGATTTGCCCTTCTGTGTTTTAATATCTGTTGGTGCTCACTTGTTAAAGACCAGATCTGTATATGACGCACTTGTATGTGCATAATCTATGTCGACACACACACACACACACACACACACACACACACACACACACACACACACACACACACACACATATTATAATGACATCACATTTGTTTGTCAAATACCTTTTCTTTGTGCAAATCTTTAACACCAGTGGTTCGATAAAAATAAAAGAAAAGCAAAAATAAAAAAACGCTTTCTGATTAAAACAGCATTTAAAAAACAACAACAACAAAGGGGGGGGGGGGGTCAAAACAAACAAACTTAAACATGTAACTGTTGACGCTAAATAAAAAATGGCCGATCAACGCCGCTCTCGGGTCGATCCTGAGCGCCGAGTATATTACATCAGAGGGTCTTTGCTTCCTGATTCTGGTCACATGATCGGGGAACCAGGAAGTGAATGTATCCCCCCCGTCTGTCTGTCTGTCTGTCTGTCACACGCCGAGCTACGTGACCTACGTGTCTTTTTAGTGTTCGTCTCTGTCAAAAAAATACTCCATTTATATTTACAACAATTAAATAGAGGTCATTTAAGCACTTGTGTGGTGACGGTGTGTCGTTGAGCAGAGCTGGCAAAGCTTTGAACTGTTTTTTAAAATCTTTTTCTTCTTTTTTTATCCTTTAAAAACCCAAATAAAACAGGAACGCCGTCCCAGTTGTGAAAAGTTACATCATGCCACAATAAATAAAGGTGTAGTTTAAAAAAAGAATAAAAAAGCAGAGGAAAGGAAAGAGGAAGAAGGAGACGCTGAAGGATTTCTGTGCAAGATGGCGCTTCAGTGAAGCTTTAGCGCAAGTAGCAGTAGCAGTAGTAGCAGTAGCAGTATTAGCAGTAGTAGTAGTAGTACTATGTGTAGGACTAGTAGTAGAAGTAGTGTTGACGTCAGACTTCTATGCAGGTAAGGTGGGTGTCAGGTATCAAGAAGGATTCCCGGCTGTCTCAAACCCAAACTGGCCTCAGACCAGCAGTTTTTAAGCCCCGCCTCCACTACGACGCACTAAAACTAACACACACGTAACACTGCGGCGCATTGTTTAAAAAAACCACCGGGAATCCACATCTGCACCCATGAAACGGCTCATCTCCCCTGTTACACGGGAGGTTTTTGGCGGGTTAAGGTTTGGGATGAGTGGGTAGAGAGTGTGTGTACATGTGTGTGTGTGTGTGTCTCAGTAGCTGTTTTCATGGCCTGCCAGGATGTAGAGGTTGCTGTGGGCTGTAGGGTTGTCTGTCGGCCGGCTCTCCAGCACCACCACCCTGCAAAACACACACACACACACACACACACACACACACACACACACACACACA